GGGGGCAGTGGGTGGTGAGCGAGGGGACGGGGTGTTGTTGTTATTGTGGTTGTTATTCTTGTCGTTCGGATGGTGGCTATTTTGTTGATGTTCTGGTTGGGATGATGATTATTGTTGATGCGTCCGTTGTTGTTACTGTTGTTGGGATGTTGTTGTTGTTGTTATTGAATCTGTTGTTGTTGTTGTTGTTGTTGTTTTGGCATGGTGGCTATTGTTGTTGTTGTTGTTGTGATGGTGGTTATTGTCGTCGTCGTTGTCGTTGTTGTTTTTGTTCCTGTTGTTGTTGTTGTTGCTGTCGTTACTGTTGCTGTTGTTGTTGTTGTTGCTGCTGCTGTTGTTGTTGTTGTTGTTGTTGTTGTTGTTGTTGTTGTTGTTGTCGTCACCTTGAGACACCGGATGGGAGCTGGGATGAGCTGAGCCTTCATGTTGACAGCGTCTATGAGCAGCACCCCGACGGGGAACCGGTCTGGTATACTGATCGCCATACGGTACTCCTGGTGTAGTTTGTACAGCAGCTCTATGAAGAACGTCGGATCTGGGGACGAGACAGAGAGGGAGGGAGGGAGGAGGGAGAGAGGGAGAGAGAGAGAGAGAGAGAGAGAGAGAGAGAGAGAGTGTGTGTGTGTGTGTGTGTGTGTGTGTGTGCGCGTATGTGTGTGTCTGTGTGTGTGTGTTTGTCAGGGGGCCGGGGGGTGGGGTAAGGAGCAAGAGAATGAGTGAGAAAAACAACGAAGGAATGAGCAAACGAATCAATAAAATGAACGAAATAACAAAAAAAGAATGAATGGATTACTTAATAAAAGACAGAAAAACAGAAAAATTAATAAACAGATGAATGAATTCAAACAAATGAACGTTGTATGGATGAACGCGTTGATTATTACCTTGGTAGCAGTATTCAACATGGCATTGTTGTAAAAAAAGCTATTAAAAAGCTATAGTAGTACTAGAGTGGAAATACAATGTTATGTTTGTTCTCAAAGTGGAAAGTACTAGAAAACAGTGGCTGGGTTTTTATCTGTCGTTCGTTAGCTCTCCGAAACGCATCATTGCTTATGAACGCACACTCGAGAGAGAGAGAGAGAGAGA